CTTTGAAAAACATTAAAGCACGGAACATATGTTAAGGGTGTCCCAATCATAATGTGCATAGAATAGGGTTATTCACATCGAGCGAATGGCCTTCACAGCTTTCCATACAAATACGCACCCGTTTGTCGAAATTTTCAATTACTATTCTGCATAAATGTGGCTTATTAATGCAACGTTAATAACCCTAAAACTATACTACATAAATGGCGGCAAAGTTCAATCTTGCGTTAATTTTGGGACACCCTTTACACATACATATTGTATATCACGCTGTACATGTCTCGTTTCAAAATTCTATTTTGAAAACTTTCCACGGTTCAAATTACGCCCCACGGTTAATTTACACAAAACCATTGTCAACACCAGTGAAGCACAAGCTCAGTCTAAGAGACAGACAGCCAATTCAGCGAATCAGTGAAGCACTCACGTTACGCGCATACTGATCACAAGTGCCTGCTCCCAAACGCTGCGCATTCCGCTTGAAATTGAGGTAGATGTGCAATCAAGTTAACAATATCCGGTCGTAAAAAAAACTCATCGCAAAAAATACAACTCGAAAAGGTAGAAAAAAAGTAATCGCCAGCAGCTAAGCATAAATGTACAACGTCAATATACTCCCGTTGAGTAAATGAATTAGTGGCACAAATGACCAACACCGAATAAGTGGATGCTGGTAAATAAGCTCGTCTGTACAGTTTAGGTGCACCGGAAGCATTATACATACACAAAGGCAATACGTGCATATAGCTGTACAAATGTGAAGTGCAAGTATGTATGCAAAGAGGTGGAAACGGTGAAATGGTACTGCACTAAACGTTTTGTAAAGAATTTCATTGGGCCTTTGCTGCTAATACGTTTCGAGTTATATCAAATTGGCTTCACATGATAGAAGAGGACTGCCAAAACCTTATAATAAGCTTTAGGAGGGAAACGTCGGAGACCCTATTAAATATATATATATGTATATAAATGATCAGCGTGATGAACTAAGTTTATTTAGCCGCGTCCGTCTGTCTGTATATGCGAAGTAGTTACTCAGTTTTTGAGATATCGCTCTGAAGTTTTGCACACGTCTTTCCCACTCTAAGGAGTTGCTCATTTGTTGGAAACGCCAATAGCAAACCACTATAACATAAAACAGCTGCCATACAAACTGATCGATCAAAATTAAGTTCTTTTATGAAAAATATTATATTTTTATTTGACAACATATTTATCTTCACGAAATCCGGCATTAGTCACTCTTGTATTTGTTGAAAAATAATCTAGCAACTTTTGCCAATTTTCTTATACAAAATGCATTTTTAATCTTCTGCAGACTTTCGAGTTTTTAGGGATGATGTGATTATTTTAGGATCTTAGTGGACCCTATATTTAAACACCTTCCTAGTTCTCTTGAAACTTTTTTATAAATTTTATTTTCATACTTAAGCAACAGAATAACTAGTTTTATTCGCCTAATCGTTTTTTGTAACACTAATGCCTCGGTGATTAAGGCTGCCTTTTTCCCAAAAATATCTATTACTCTGTGAAATACATTAATAAGATTCAGAAAGCATCTTTTTCTGGTAATTATGTCTCCTGATACCGAACATGGATGAAATCGAGTTAATACTCTCCCTAGCACCCATATACCTAATATAAGAGTTTTCGTACTTCCAGTTTACTTTGTACCATATATACGCGTAACAGTCAATCTGTGAGATATCTTAATGAAATTCGGAAAGTATCTTTTACTGGAAATAATGTGTCCTAATAAGACATATGTATAGAAACGGGTCAGTACTTCCTCTAGCCCCCATATACCTAACAAAGTCACATCCGACTTTTGAGTTGACATAAAACCGTATATTTCGATCCATATGAGTGATATATTAATAAAATAGCTTAAAAGTTGTAAACTCTTCACATATTAACCTTAGATGTTCTGAAAAGTTATTTCTACTGACATGGAATATTTTATTCGCGCATTTACTTTAATACTTCATATTAACTGTGAATTTGCCAATTATGAACGCAAATTTTTGCACTTGAACTGATTGACTTTCTCACTTAGTACTCTAGATTTTCAGTCAAGCAAGCATTTTCGCACCAATATTTCATCATAAATTCACATAATATCGTATTATAATTCAATCGGTCGAACATTTACATATATTTAGCCTGCAATCACTTAATGTGACTCAGCGTACAATCACGGTAATTAAAAATTAATTATTCAGCGCGATATAAATATCAATAAAAAGCATCAGTTGTAACTGACAGGCCATAAAATATTACAACAAAAAAAAACACATGTATGGACAAGAACAACTCAACGCAGCAATATGTATTATTATAATTTTTCACTCTTCACTTTACAATTATAAATTTATATAAAAATAGCTCGGTGTGTGTATTGGTGAAATTTTTTCAATATATCAATGCAAAGGCATATGAAGCGTAGCAAGCTATTTTTAAACATTAACTAATTCGTATTAATTCTATAAACGCACAAATATATTATTTCACGCCTACAAACATACACGCACGCACATAATTGAAAGCACTGTTATAATTATTTAGTTTCGCCCTTTAATTGATGCCTTTCATTTACAAATTAAATGGCATCGAATACATGGCAGGCTGCTGGTCATTTAACACTTGCAGATGCATGCATTCAAATGCATATGTGTTGGTGTGCATAAAGTAATCTATAGTTATGGTTTTACATTACTAAATGTGTATTGGGAGATAAGGCAATTTTGGTGTGTAGGTCCAGCATGCATGCAGCTAGGGCGTTGAGTGGTAATAATTATAGACGTGGCTAGCAGAGTTTCAAATACAAACCCTCACCTAGGTAGATATATGATTAAGTATGTGTACATTTGCTCTTAAGCATAAAACTGAACGTGAAAATTTCAAATTCAAGACAACATATGTACAGTTCTACCTACTTACAGCGCTATTTTTATAGCGTGAGGGTTACTCAGTTGACTATTCAGTCGAAAGTAGCAAAGAAAGAACTTAATGCAGTCGCTCAAAACACACAATAGTAAATTATTTATGTTAAAGGAAGTCTTTTTTGAATATGCGGTTTACAAGACGAAGATAATGGCAATGGTGGCTAGCCGAGAGGTCCAATTGGAACCGTATGTTAGTCGAATATTCCCATCCCAGGGGTAAATCGTCTCAGGCTTATCTGCGTAGACAAGCGACTCCACATAACCCCACAAAAAATAGTCCAGCGGTGTTAAATCGCACGATCTTTGAGGCCACGCCACTGGCCCACGACGCGTGATAATGCGTTCATTAAAAGTTTTCTTCCATAAATTGATTGTTTTATTGGCTGTATATCATCTAACTTCGAAAACGAAATTGCCTCATTGAAAACCTCGCATTCCGCCTAGCAACTTCACGCTATAATTATTCTGCAGCTTTAGTTATCTAAACACTCTTGTTGAGTATTGCTTTCAGCGACTGTTGGCTATTTTTGTTGCCCTAGCAACCACTTATTTTTAACGGCGCTGAGGCAAGCGATTATCTTCTCAATTTGGTTTTAAATCCGTAGTCAAGCATACAGCTTGTTCTATACAATTACTTGATGCTAGGAATAATCTTGTTTTGAGATCCGGCGAAGTCCTTTTTTGGATACCATGTTTACTGACAGTTTGACTGCCACTCAGTATGATTTTAATTTCGTGAACTTATTTCGAATAGAATTCACGCTTTCAAATATATTAAAATATTTAATAGATTTCTTTTTCACTTTCGTAGGGGTAAGGCCAATTTAATTGGCAGCGTACATTCACTTTCCTTAGTCTCCATAAAACTAATATCTGATAATTAATTTCTTTACCAAGAACTAAACTGGATGTGGATTTATATACCTTTCCTTTAAGGGATCGCACATTAAAAACTGGGAATCCATGGTATTCTAAACTTTACTCTTGAAGCTGCATTAGCTCAAGTTCAATGAACAACCTGCAGTTTTAGATCGCACACATGTATATAGGCAGACAGCAGACACTAGCTAAGTAGGGCGACCCTTATTCCAAATACGAATAGCTTCGCTGAAGCTTCAGATCTAGGTCGGTTGCCGTTCCGGTCGATATAGTAGCTTATATATCGGATGCGCAAGCCTAGATGCAAGTGTAGGGATTGAGTTGATGGCTTGAACCTGCAACTATGGCATTTGCAAACTTCGAAGACTTTCTTCCTGTATTATTATGGAAAATCATCGATTTTCTCCTGGCACTTTACTTTTTTTTATTACCTTTTCTCAGTACTTTTGAGAACCATTCATTTAATGTACCCATTCACATATTCAAATTTGCATTGTCCATTAATTACTACAAACCGCTCGCCGAACAACTTAATATTCATAGGCAGACAAAAAAAATGTCGAGAAAAATATAAAAGAGCATAAATAGCAAATCAAACTGATTAAGATTTAACGGCAAGGATTTATAATATATACATTTCGTGGGTTACAAATGTCACAGGATAAACAGACGACCAACCATAGCTTCCTTTTATCCTACTATTGACAATATCTTCTGCATCCATATTGTAACGACCCTCAATGTAATGAGGTAATAAATTTAGATTTAAATAAAATGTCTATCAATATCAACTGATGAATAGGCTACTTTTCGCCTCGCCAATTAATACATGGTATATGCAGATATGGACTCGCTCAACGGATAAATAGTTGTTAATTTGTTGTTAAGTTGAGTGTATGTGTGTACGTCAAAGCGCATTTAAGCCGAGCTGCTTTAAGTGTCACAAGGCAATGTTAGCCGTGGAGCACAGTGAATTGTATGAAAAGGATAACGAAACAAAGCACGAGGATAAAATCGTGTACTGATGAACTTGTATGATTAATAGAATAGTCCGCAGACAAATTTATATATGTAAATGTTTCGTAAATACACAAGAGGTGTGTTTACCACTTAAACCCTAAAAATAAAAAATATTTGGCATGAGGAAAAAACTCACACTTACTGAGTGGATATGTAGACGACTGAGACCTTGACATTGCAGTAAAAAAAAAAATTATAAAAATTTTAATTAAAATTTTCAACTAACAAATTTTTTTTCCATTTTCAAACTCTTGAAATTATCATGGGACCCCTTGATGCTGATGGGACTTAGTGTAAAATATTGAAATATCGATTTTTTCATATTTCGATACTTTATATATTTAAAAATAACATACTAATTTCAAATCAATATCTTCAATAGATTTTGAGCCACAGCCATTTAAAGGGTAGCCGCTGAGTTCAATCCGTTCCACCAGTTTATTTTTCTCCAAACAACAGTGATAACTCGAAGAAAAATGATACGATCACCATAAAATTCATGAATGACGAAAATGTTCGAATCGCTTTAAGGAAGTAACAGTTTTTGGTAAAACTAAATTATATTATTTGAATTATCGGCCATAGAAGGCGAACCATATATACAGCGAACTACAATTACGATAGTACGATCTATCTTTTGGATAAAACTAAGCCTTTGCAAGACTGAGGTTAAAATATCTCGGTAGTCAGACCTTCGGCAAACCAAACGATATAGCTGAAAATGGCATTCGTCGTCTCAACAAATTTGTGGTAGGCTCAAAGCGCTTTGGCGATTCGTGTTGGTCTTATGATCAATTATGTAGGTGTTTAAAACACTACAACGGACCGCCGTTCTAAGCTTTGCAAGAGAGATCCCTGTTAAGATCGACCCTTTAACATAATTTATCTGTTTTGGCAACTTCATTGCCACTAATTTTTTCACATACAAAGACTTCGGTGGATGCGTAATAAATTTGGAGTCCAATTAAAGCATTTAAACCATTGTCTTCATTGATTTATGGGGAAACATGTAAAATAGGAACGTTTTTCTGTCATTTCATTCTTCAAACATTACAGTAATGCTATATAATAGTCGCTGTTGATGGTTTTTACCATTTCAAGATAGTCTATGAAAATGATTCATGCACATTCCGAAATATAGACGCCATAACTTTGACAGCTGATATTGATGAATATATCTATTATCTTAATTTAGTTTATTGCGTTCAGTTCCCTCGGCTGACTTGCGAAAGTATATGAGAGTGAAGTGATGAAGTCTCATCAAAACCATTGGCACATATAAACGGAAAAAGTCTCGAGAGAGTGCCCTTTAGGTATGGCACGTAGAGGAATCAAACACACATATTCAATATTTCTGCATCATAACCTTCTAATTAAACTCTTGGAATTGTTTTTGCATTGAGGTCCCATAAATTTAAATACTTAGCATTTTACACACTGATACGTCTGCCTTCGATACACTAAACTTTTTATGCATATATTAATCTCCTAGCACTTGGCCTTCTTCCAATTTCTTACACGAACTTATCAAGTTTGAAGTATCCAGAAGCGTAGTAAATTAAACAGGATGTATAACACATATCTACGGCCAAAATGCAGTCTGCTACATGATGATTCATTTTATTTTTTGGTATTTTAGTGGCCCTCATCAAGTTTGACAGTTAAGCATACATTTATTGAAGTGCTTAACATTAAACTTAAAAACTAGTGAAGAGTCTAACTGCCACTTAATGTGATACGAAGTGAACTAGTGTCTTATACTATATTGTTTGAGTTTAAATAACCGATGACTTACATATTACTATTAATCGGTAATCCACTAATACATATGTTATGTGTCATGACATTGTTTGAGAATTACCCTGACACCAGAGCTACTTAAAATACTAATCGGTCCATTGCTTAAAAAGTTGGTTGCCATATTTGGGGCTGGAAGTTACAAGAGCAACACTAATATCTACAATTTCTAAAGAAATATTTCAAAGTGTCTACTGAAGTTAGCCGGCAAACGAAACAATTGTGGATGGAATCTCTATCTTTGTGCAGCCACTCTCTGCAGACACTGTCGAATATTGGAATTTTCGCTCCAAAAAGCAGCACACCGCTACTATATACGCTGAGATCTTCGACAAAAATATACATCACATATTACCAGCCAAAATATTCGAAGTATGAGTTACTTGGCAAATAAAGTCCTTTCTATGGACTTCAGAATGGTTCAAAAATCATGTGCGATTACTAATAAACCAGGAACTAAATATTTTTAAAAGCGACTAATAAGTATCATGGTTCTTAAGATGAGAATCCTCTATATTATGTTAGGTATATAGGCTGATTTCTAGTGACTACACGAATATAATCCAATTCCTTGGAAAGCTAGAGATGCCTATCTGTTGAGATGCCCAGACTTCCTAGGTATGGATCCAAAAATACCATCACATATCGACGAAACGCCTAAAGACTGCCACAAATTTATTGAGGCGGCAAATATCAATTCCAGCCAATTCGCGTGGATGTTTCAACCTTAACCTGGCGGAAGCTGAACAGTTGAGGAGAAAGTGCCTAAATTTCTCCACCTCTTGCAATTTTCATAAGTTGCGTGCTCCAAAATCTTTAGCCTCAACGCGTGAGTGCCAATGGGACAGTGGCCAGTTAGGACACCTATCATTGCGGCGATGTGAGCCTTGCCAAGAGCTAGCAGTTCGATGGACATTTAATGTTCCACTCTGGATCGGAAGGCTTTGACAACTCCACAAATTCTGGTTACTGACCAACACTTGATGAGCGCGCGCGCTGCCCCTAAATCCATTGCCCGGATGCACGAAGACAGTGGAGCCCCTGCTCATTCCCATCCTGATGGTGTTTTGGTAAGGGTGCCTTTTCTTGCAAGCACATCGGCTTAACAATTTCCGACGATTCCGCTATGGCCTGGAACCCAGACAAGTTCAATATGAAAGTAGCTTGATGCTATTGCTAGTAAGGTCATGCACTCCTTAAATAGCTTTGATCTCACTGTCAGCAAGCTCAAGGCCTGTATAGTAACAGTGAGTGTTAGGCAGTCTGAAACAACAGTAGATTGAAAACAATCGACAGCAGAATCCCCTCCCCTCACTGATCCTCTTCTCTAACGACTCCACCCCATCCACATATCTCTCAGAGGTATGTGCGCGGTGAAGATGCCACTAGTAGTAGGCTACGCGCCGTAATGGTCAAAATGATCAGGAATGCAGTCGAAGTGAGAGAGGATTTCGGAAATACCCTCTCTGGGAAGAACGAAGTGCTGAGAGCTTTCCTTAATGAAGTAGAAGCTTTCAGTGTTAAGGACTTTCATGTTAAAAGTATTATCTACACAAAATTTTTCTTTGTCATTATAATTAATCTCTATAAATTCTAAACTTTATGCGAAACGTTGTCAGTTATCTCCGAAACCACCAAGTGTATTTTCATCCGATTTACATACTCTCTGTACTCATCAAAGTCTATCTAGAGCGCCACCGTTATTGCAAAGGCATTCATAACAATTTTAATCCCCTAACATTTCCAGGAAATGCTATTCATTTTGCTCTTTTCATACAATGACAAGTGTCTTCTGGGAAACTAGCTGCTAATTGCAATGCGTACTCAATTTTATATCCCACCACTTAATACTCATTCAATTCTTCACTAAGCTCATTACTAATTTAGCGCACATTAAAAGGCGATAACCAGAAATTCACGAAGTGCTCACAACTACTGAGAAGGGTTGGTTGATGGTAGGTGGCATCCACAGCAGCGTCTTGGATGATTATTGTCACTCGTTCTGTATATATTTATTACGATACCACTGCTGACATAATTTTTGCGTCAAATCGATAAGTGCGGTACTTTGGAACTTAATACTAAAGCATATATCTCCATCAACTGCTGATTGTTGTAAACATTTTGCGCTACAAAAATCATGAATGCATTAATAATCAATTGCATAATTGACCGCAAATTAAAACACACATGAACGATTTAATTGTTGTCCGAGTTTTTGACTAATGCCGACCGTTTAACAACGCATCCGATCAGACTTCATAAGCGAGTATCTGCCGTAGTCCGCCTGACCGTCTTTCCGTCCGACCATCCTTATAAGCATTCTTTTGCTTTTATTAGCTTTTGTTTGAACAGCTGAATGACCAACATTGTACTAGACTGTTGTTTGTGAAGCATAATGAATGTCTAATGCGGTATTCTACTCGTATTTGTAAAAACTATGTGTGTAATTGGAATAGTTGCTGTGGCAGTAGATTCTTACATTAACAACTACATATATATGGTGTAATGAAAAAAACTGTTTTTGTTAGGAAAAAGTGGTATTATAATTAGAACCGCAGAAATGAGCGCATGCTTATATACCCGTATACATACAGTTGCATTCAAAATAATAGCAGAGAGAGTCAACGTATCATTTGTTGTCCGACATATTCATTGTCCTATAAGCTTTAAAGCTTTAAGCATGCGGGAATAGGTGTTGAATTTTATGGGAATATTTTTCTTATGAAATATAAGAATTTACCATTGTCGCTGTTAGAAAAGAAATTTAAGATGTTGCCTTGGACGATATTTGAGCCAGCAACCCAGTTCGTTCGTTCATTGTATGATTACAGCATAATAGATCGTTGACCCAATAAAGTTGGCAATTTTGTCTAATTAAAATTTAAAAACGTAGCAATGTGGTAAAATATTTCGTTCAAAGAAAAGCTGAACCCATTTATACATCTAAAATTTCTCTATGAATTACATAGTACTACCACTAAAGCTTTCGAACATTTATATAAATATTTTATTTAGTTAACTTAAAAATTTCTTATGCAAAAACTGAACTTGTGAACAATAAATAATACAGTGCTCCAAAAATCATAAGGAATTTTAAACATTTATCAAAATCGAAGCTATTTATTCACCTCAATTATAAATATTTACCAAAACTATTTTGAAATGTAACCATGAAAGATGACTCTACAATAATGACATCCGATAATTATAATTAGACTACATGTACACAGTTATATGTATATCTGCACTCCATCAGAGAAAACCTGAACCACTGTGTCTGGGAATTTTCGAATTTGAATATGCCATAGTATTGAAGGCTAAAACAAAATAATTTACCACAAAATCATTTCTAAATGTTTTTCAAAAACTTATCTATTAGTTTCCAAGCATGATCCGAACCTATATACCAGCTCTAAACTAAATTCTCAAAACGCCTAACTGACCGATCCAGAAGTGATGTCGACATATCAAAACTTGGCTGGTTCTCGAGACAGCTTAAAGCTCTCAGAAACACAAACAGCGGGGAAAGCTCCGGAAAACATCTCAAAGAGATTATCTACGGTAAATGCAATATTAAATTCTAAAATAAGCTGCGACTTGTGAGTCACTTCGAGCATAAACACGCTTCAACTGGTGACAATGTTACAATAATAGGTATAATGTTACTTTGGCAAGGATAACGGTACCGAAGCAAATGTCGAACGAATAAGTTATCCGACGCCAAAAAAAGCAAAACAGGCATATTCAGAATGCTTACCTTGCTGCCTAGTATAATCGCTTGAAAAAATTATAAGCTCTTGTCTGGCATACTGAACTTGTAGAGTATATTTAAACAACTCAAGCTACTTACAATTTTCACTTACTACAATTTTAGAAAATGAATAGTCCTAGAAGTGTATTTAACATTTTTAGGCCAACAAGGGCCAATGAGCAATAAGGCTAAAAGTTTGTTTACTTGACTTTTAATTATAGTTGTGTCACTTACAAGTCACTCGAGCCGTTGAAGGCTCAAATGCGATGTTAGTGGGTTTCGGATGCTTGCGTTTCCCAATGACCAACGGCTATGGCAGCAGTAACGAAGAAAGCTATGTTGACAAAGCTGCACAGCTGCTTAAGGAGTCGCGTAAAAATAGGGACATTCATACAAATATGCAAATTCCAATCCCGCTAGGAAAGCT